TGAATAACTTGAAGACAATCAATTACATCGGATGCGTCCTCCAGTGTCTGTGGTATTGCGCGCCGTTCTTCGTCTCTCTGGTCTCGTTTGCCATTTATGTGTCCATCGATTCCGCCAACCAATTGACCGCCGAAAAGGCGTTCGTATCGCTGGCTCTCTTCAATATACTCCGATTCCCGCTCACAATGCTTCCCAATTTGGTCACCAGTATTATCATGGTCAGTTTTTCAACATATTTTTACCTTATTTTTTTCACTGACTCTAAATCTCTTGTAATTGTTTTCATAGACAAGCGTTTCGGTGAAGCGATTGAATAAATTCTTAAACGCACCCGAATTGAGTGGTTATGTGACCAGAGATTTGGATGAAAAACATGCCATTAATGTGAGGAACGCGTCATTCAATTGGAAGAAAGACACCGACGAAACCGCCGAAGAAGATAATCATTCGACTCTTAGTGGTATCAACTTTGAGATCAAGAAGAACTCGTTTGTGGCGATTGTCGGGTCTGTCGGCTCCGGCAAGAGTTCACTACTGAGCGCACTGTTGGGCGATATGGAGCTCGAAAACGGATCCGTTAACATGTAATTCACATTTCAATGTATTTTTTGTTGACAATAACTATAATGTGTTTGAAATGAACGGCAAAACAGCTGTTCCTCGCAGAAGATAGCGTACGTTCCCCAACAGGCGTGGATCCAGAACTCGAGTCTCAAGAATAACATATTGTTTGGCAAACCATTAGATGATAAACGATATCAACGAGTGATCGATGCGTGCGCTCTGAGACCAGACCTGGAGATCCTTCCCGGAGGCGATGAGACAGAGATCGGCGAAAAGGGCATCAATTTGAGCGGAGGTTTGATTTGGTTTCAATTAATAAGTAAATTATTTGACACAAACATTGACCACATTATTAGGCCAGAAGCAGAGGGTGAGTCTGGCCCGGGCCTGCTTTAGTGATGCCGATCTGTTCCTCTTCGACGACCCATTATCTGCCGGTTTGAATGATTGACACTTTTCACGCAATGTTATATGTTTTTACAATATTGTTAATTATATGACTTATAGTTGATTCACACGTTGGCAAACATATCTTCGAAGAAGTGATGGACTCGAGGACTGGTGTCCTAAAAAATAAGACCAGAGTTCTGGTGACCAATAGTCTGACATTCCTTTCGACGACGGATCAGATAATTGTCTTAACGGACGGAAAGATCGGAGAGACGGGAACTTTTGACGAGTTAATGCAACGAAAGGGACACTTCGCTGATTTGATTAATCAGTATTCGGCCAACAGTTTGAACAAAGAGGAAGAGGACGACAGTGTCGTGAAGAAGAAGTCGGGAACCGTTAAGGAGACGAAAGGAGAGAAATCAAAACTGGTTGAGGCCGAGAGGGCAGAGACCGGACGAGTCAAGTATTCCGTGTATTTCCGATACTTTAAGGCTATATCACTGTTTTGGTGTATAATTGTGTTCGTAAACTATGCGCTGATGCAGACATCAGTGGCCGGAACCAGTCTATGGTTAGCCGAATGGTCCGATTCGGTCGAACGGGGCGAGAGAGACAGCACAGCCTATTATCTCTCCATTTATGGTATTATTCGCCCAACAATTTGATCCATTGATTAGTTTGAGTTTTACTTTTGTGTCTCGTTTTATAGGAGTGTTGGGCATAATTCAGACGGTGTTCGTAACGTACGGGTGGTATGCGATGACTCGGGGCTCTATCAAAGCGGCCACGTATTTGCACTTCAAAATGTTGGAACAGATAATGCACTCTCCGATGTCATTCTTCGACACCACACCATTGGGACGGATACTCAACAGATTCAGCAAAGATGTCGACACCTGTGACTCTACTCTTCAGCAAACCATACGGTATATCAGACATTGAATTGTGATTATTGTATTGAAAACGTAATTAAAACTTATAATATTTGATTACAGAGTTGTGCTCACCTGTGGTTTCACAACACTTTCCACATTAGTTATTATATCTATGCGTAAGTGAATTGTTATTTTAATGATTACTAAATTTATTTCGTTTTTAATCTAATGAAGCATTTTAAAAAAATATTTTTAAATAATATAGAAATTCCCATATTTTTGGCGATCATCGTTCCGGTGGCCATTATTTTCTATTTAATACAGGTTTGCATCCAATTATTATCGCATGAAATAGTATTGAAACTTACAGAATATGACCTAAATTGACAGAAATTTTATATAACAACCTCTCGGCAACTGAAACGACTGGAATCGATCACAAAATCGCCAATTTATGCCCATTTCAGTGAAACCCTGTCCGGTGTGGCCACTATTCGCGCCTGTAATTTACACTTCATTTACAAACTTATATATAGTTAACAATAGTTTTAAAGTAATTGTCATTTATATTCACAATCAGATGGTGTGAGCGAACAGTTTGTGAAAGAGTCGGACGATAGGCTGGATCTGAATAACGCCTGTTTCTACCCCAACGTCGCGGCCAACCGATGGCTATCCATACGACTAGANCTGAATAACGCCTGTTTCTACCCCAACGTCGCGGCCAACCGATGGCTATCCATACGACTAGAATATGTCGCGAACTTTATTATATTGTTTTCGGCTCTCTTTGCGGTCCTTCAGAGGGACTCATTGGGCGCGAGTCAGGTCGGCCTCATTGTGTCGTACGCTCTGAGCACAACCCAAAACCTAAACTGGTTGGTGAGGGTTATATCCGATTTGGAGACCAAGTATAATTCACTTTTTTACCATGGTCATTTTGTGCCCACTTTTAACACTACTTATATTCTTCTATTCATAGTATTGTAGGCGTTGAGCGTATCCTAGAGTACACTGACTTGAATACTGAGGCTGAATGGCATTTGGAGGCGACAGCGCCTCAGCCCGGATGGCCTGTCGAAGGAAATATTGATTTTCAAACGTATTCAACCAAATATAGAGTAGGACTCGATTTAGTTCTCAAACAGATATCCATTAAGATTAGCGCCGGAGAGAAGGCATACAACTGTTTAAATAATTATAAAACTTTTCAAAAATTAATTTCTTATTCAAACTAGTGCTCCAAATGTTAGCTAAAACACATTCCTGTCCCGTCCTGTCCTGAAGATATCTATTCCCGTCCCGTCCCGATCCTGTACTAAATGTCAAAATATTTTCCTGTCCCGTCCTGTCCTGTTCTGTAATTTCCTGTAAATCCTGTCGGCATATATAAAGGCTTCCAATATTCATTGGCGCCTATCGTTTGGCTAAAACAAGGCTTTATTGTGAGTCTCATACGCTCTCGTAGGCGCCGTACAGTCGGATCCCTTTGTATTCTACATATACCATATCATATAGTACTTGCAAATACTGAAATTAATTTTCAAAAAATATTTTATTGCACTTTCCTGTATTTTCCTGTCTTAAACCCATTCCCGTCCCGTCCTGTCCTGAAGCTATCCATTCCTGTCCCGTCCCATTCCTACTTTCCTGTATTTTCCTGTCTTAAACCCATTCCCGTCCCGTCCTGTCCTGAAGCTATCCATTCCTGTCCCGTCCCATTCCTGTAAGCATAGGGAAAATCTTTTCCTGTCCCGTCCCAATCCTGTACAGGAATGGGACGGGACAGGAATTTACAGGATTCACGTCTTGTTTTTGGGAGACTAATTCAAACCACTTATAGATAGGAATAGTCGGCCGAACGGGTGCCGGAAAATCATCGCTCACTTTAGCCCTCTTCAGACTCATTGAGTCGACCGAAGGCAAGATTATCATCGATGGCGTCAGCATTAGTGACATTGGTTTACATCAGTTACGGTCCAGACTTACGATTATACCTCAGGACCCGATACTCTTCAGCGGAACCATTCGCACAAATTTGGATCCCTTT